TAAATCACAATATAAAAAATTCAATTGAGAAATTTTTTTATTTATTTTTCAAAACACCTTTATTTTAACACGTATAGACGCAATTTCAAATATACATATACATAATATATATATATACATGTAGGAAAATATAATACACATAAATAATTTTAAACTTAAATTTTCCTCACTTTTTATCTTATGTGTTATGGACTATAAAAGAAAAATAAAATATTGTTATTTATGTCCTGTATAACACCTTTATATACGGTATATCTTCTATTATCTAAATTATATCTACATTTATACAAGGATATAGAGGTACAAATATACATTTATAGTAAGATTTTAGAATTTTAGAAAAGCCCTCAGAATCCATTAAAATCCCGAAAATTGCACATTGAATTCATTTTTTTACTTTTTTTTTTTTTTGTTATAGCATTCAATATTCTTTATCGAAAAAATAACAATTGATAACTTTTTCATCGGCTCCAAAAAATGTAAATTCCACTAATATAATTCGCCACTCTCTATATTATAATATCGCAACCAGAATTTATACACAAAACAATTATATTTCGTATATATACCAGTTTAGTATATATGTATAAATACGAATTAAGCGTTTACCTTTTTGGTGTACATGTAGAATGGAATACCATTAGTAATTCTAAAAAAAGCGCTTCATTCAAATACAAATTATATACATATATTGCCAGATATGTATAAATGTATGTAAATTTACACGTTCAAGTAGTTTATTTTAAAAGAATTTTTGCATGTTTAAAAAGAAGAAGAAGAAAAACAAAATTTCAAAATATTTTATAGCATTAAATGGGGTATAAGATAAGTTTATTGAAAACATGTTTCAAATTTATTTTACATTTGTTCCAAAAAATTGTACCATCCGTACCATACATACAATACAGAGGAACTGTGGTCTTTCAGTTATTTTTCCATGACATGTAAAAATTCTGGCTATTTTTTTTTTTATTTTCACCGTTATTTTCTTATTATTATTATTATTATTTTTAGTCTGCATTGCAACAAAGTCGTCATTATACCCTAAAACTCACCAGAACACATAAAATCAAAAATAAACAAACAGAAAAGAATAAATAAAAATTGGAAATTTATCCACCATTATTGTACCTTTTGTTTTTTTTTTTTTGTATTTAACAAAATCCTTGTATAAATGTTCCGTTAGTATAACGTAAAACAAAACAAAAATTGCGATATTGTTCGCTTTGTTTTTTTTTGTCTTTTTTTAATTTTATTCGCGAATTATTACTGGAAGCAAAAGAGTGTATATACAGTGTGTATGATAATAGGACAAAACACACAAGATATTATAAAATAAAATTTTATAAAAAAAAAAAACATTATAAATGCACAAGAAATATATTTTACAATATAACAGTATAAAAGTTTTTGTTTTGGTTTTTCATATACAAACACCAAACAACCGTAAAGTAACGCTAAATAGGCGAAAATTTTATCCAATAATTCCCAACTTTATGCAGCAGACAAAATATGGGAAAATATTTTGTGTAGTTTTCTATTTTTTTTTTTTTTTTACGTTTTTGGGGATTTTATTGAAAATTTTTCCAACATGAGTGTACAAAAAACGAAAAAAAATAAGCGACGAAACAAAAAACAAGAAAAATAAAATTTATAATAAACATTCGCGGATTGGTGGTTATTTTCAGCAGTTTTACCAATAAAATTGGTATCAGGGGTCTAAAAAAACATAATAAAAGAAAAAACAAAACGAGCAACAACACAAAATAGTATGGTAAAGTGGGAAAATAAATAAAGTTTTAAAAAGTATACAAAATGCACATATTATCATAAAATGCAGATTGCGGTTTGCAAAATGCTGCTTTTTGTGGGTATTTTTCGATTCATGTTTTTCTTTTTACCTAAAAAAAAAAATTTATTTTTGTATTGCAGAAAATTGCAATATTGATAATATAAAGCATTACGATGTTTCTGAAATAAAATATTGCATATAGATGCATTGGGATGCACATGAATTCATACAAGCATAATAATATATGAGTGTATAATAAAACATTGGCCATTATAATCTTATACATATGTGCATTTGGAAACTATATATGTACATTTATATATAGTTAATTTACAATATTACATTTGTGCAGTTGAAATTTTTTTTTTGCATATACTTATGGTTACTTATGTAGATTTATTGCTCTAAAGAGAAAAGTATGCATTTTTTTTTTTTTCATTTTGTCTTCAAATAAGAACATTTTTTGTGTGTGTTGTTGCAAAATCCTTTTATTTTTTTTTTTCTTATATCCCTAATTTCCATAAAAATTAAATTTAAATTCAGAGTGAAAATAATTTTATAATATTAATATATAAATATGTTCAATTTATATAGGTATGTACATTTGACCCATTTTAGAATATTAAAAAAAAAAAATTACTTTTTTATAACTAAAATTAAAGTAAGTTGCCGTGTTTGTATATAAGTTGTGAGTTGTTGTGAATTTTTCGAATAATAAAATTATGGTCTTAAAGTTAAACTTTAAAATTTTCATCATACTTTCAATTCAGCTCAAAAATTTAATACAATAGTGAATGTAATTTTAATAGTGAATTGAATTTTGTCAGTGTTTAATTAAAAGTTAGTGAAAATTGCGAATATTCCAAAAATAAATGAGACATATGGGAACAGAAGGGCATACTAACTTTAGTGTAGAGTTTCCAACGACTTAAAAGAGTTGTCTACGATGTAAACATATTTATGAGTCTAGGAGTTTTCTACGATATGAACATGTATATACCTCGTAAACAGTGAAGTATATATTCTCACTCTTTGCGTTGTACTAAAAATACTCATTCGACCGCCCGTTCGATCGCTCAATAACGCAATAACTCACTATATAACTCAAAAAAGAGTACAGCAAAAAAACACAGAAAATTTTCACAAATTATGTTTTTTTGTCAAGGCAGGTATTATTATACAATTTGACCGGTAGAATTGGAGCGGGTTCGGGTAGCTGCCATACATCCTAAAAGATAGTTTTAAATATTTGATAAAAATAAGTCTTAATAATTCTATAGCTGAGCATGAAATATAGCAGGTATTCGTTCCATTATACAGTTTAAATATACGAGTTAGACATGAGGTTTTGGTAAAATTAGTTTACATTATCATGTAGTCGTCATACAAATAAGATCGACTGCAATGTTTTTATTTGTTATCAAATGGATTTTGATATTATCAGAATTGATTCTATTTTGGCATTGGTGAATAAATATTGTTGAACAACTTTTTATCAAATTCCTTAACAAGCATTTCACGCAAAATTTTATTGTTCGTTAGTGTGTTAAGTTGTAAACTTGAATTAATAAAATCTCAAAGGATTTATACTTTTCTTACACATAGATACAGGTTTACTTTATAATTTACACATGGGTTGATTCGCAAGTGGAATGTAAAAAATTTCCTTTCAAAATGGTAGATTGCAGAATGGGCGAAGATGTACCGCGACCTAAAAGACCTGTTATACAACCCCACCACGAGTTGTTCCCTAGAACAACACCTCGAGAGCCACGCTTCTAATGAGTCCGAGCAACTTTCCCGGGAGATATTCCAGAACGGCATGCCTACCAGCCAAGGTCGCCTAAGCTGGCCGCTCTCTTATCTACCAACGTTCCACACTCACTGAGAAAGTGCACCTGCAACACCCGTCGGTCTCTAGGCCCAGCTTGCTTAGTTGTTTTCTAAACCAACACTGTTCCGTCAGGAAACCCGTGAGAATTCTCACATGATTCCGTGACCTTAAAGAAGGTAAAATTGTTAAAAAAATTTGGGAGTCTGAGAAAATCACTTCAGTAACAAATGTTTCTAATAAATGTAGACTGTTTATTCGTTAATTATAAAATTTTAAATCGATTTAGGTTTGAGTTTTCAAATTCTGCAAATTTTTATTCTATACTTTAAGTCAAAATAAAAAATTAGGAACACAATAAAATTAATTTCACGTGCAAAAATAAAAGAATTACACTGTAAAGTAGGCACAGATCTTTTAATACCTTAACAACCAAATCGAAAACTGCGATAGGAACTCATTCTCTTTTAATTTAATATAACAAATATCATTTATGAATATAAAAAAATATTAATTGAATTAAATTGCTTAGTCAGTTTCCATTTTGCTAAATTATGTAATTAATTTTTTTCTCTAAATTATTTTCGAAACAATCACGTATATAATTTGTAGGTGAATATAATATCGCCCTCTCAATTTCAAATGTGTGTATGTGTGTGTGTACCAAATTATTAAAATTCTTTTAACGTCATAGAAAAATTCCTGAAATTTTTAATAATTTTTATTTTTTTCTGAAAAGCTATTTAAAACTTAACTAATTTCAGAATATTTTATTAATATAAATTTTAATCAGTTTTATTTATTGAGTGACTTCTATTTATATACACGTATACAACAGAATAGTGTTATTTGTACCACTGATAATTTTTGTGAGGTAGTTAAAGTGTCTATATTAAAATTGATTTATGATTATAATACACTCCGGAGTGCGTAAATAAATTATAAAAAAAAAATAATTAAGATAATTCATTAAAAAAATGAAATATTTTTTTTATAATTGTGGGGTCAGTTAATTATTTTAGCGAACCTGCGAGGTGAATATTTCAAATACAATATAATTATATGTATGTATATGTATATTATGTCATCTTGGAATGTTCCATAGAGCAAAAAAAAGAACGATTTCAATTTATTTCACATTTAAATTTTATTTTATCTCGTAATAAATTAATATTTAAACATTTATGACATTATAATTCATAAACAACCATAAATAATATTATATTTGAGTTTGAGTATACGTATGTTTAAATATATATGTTGTATACATATAAATCTAATTATATAATTAAACTTAAATTGTTTGTTTCGAAGAAAAACTTTTAAAATTTTTCATTTCCGTATTCTTATTTTTATATTAAATTTTATTAATTTCAGGTATGGTTTAAAAATCGTCGCGCAAAATGGCGTAAACGTGAACGTAATACTATGAATGCAATGAATGCTGCTGCAGCTGTAGCTGATTTTAAAACTGGTTTTAATGCATCATTTATGCAACCATTTGATGAAACATTATATTCGCAATATTCTCCATATAATAATTGGACAAAAGTTCCATCACCCTTGGGTACAAAACCATTTCCATGGCCTGTTAATCCTTTAGTATCTGCAAATCATCATCAGAATTCAGTTAATTGTTTTAATACAACACCATCATCGGTTGCAGTTAGTATGAATTCGGGTAGTATGTTAAGTGGTGCTATGGGTACAACATTAACAACAGGTGGTACTGGTGGTACTGGTATACCAGGTACACCATGCCCATATACAACACCAGCAAATCCATATATGTATCATCCAAAGAATACAGCAGAACCATATCCATCAATGACTAACAGTATAGCAACATTAAGATTAAAAGCAAAACAGCATGCATCTGGTTTTGCAAGTCCATATTCTGCACCATCTCCTATTTCAAGATCAAATTCAGCTGGTTTATCAGCATGCCAATATACAGGTGTTACAGATTCCGTTTGAGAAAACGCTCTTGGGGTCTTATTAAATCATCAGCAACAGCAATTACAGCAACATCATCAAATACAACAACAATTACAACAACAACAACAGCAACAAGAACATAATCACCAAATACATGGTTTAACAATTAATAATAATAACAATAATAATAATAATAGTAATAATAATAATAATGATAATAACAATCAAATAAATAATAATAATAGTAATGAAGATAATGATTTAATGGGCCCCAATACTGATAGTGATGAAATTGAAAGAAATATTAGAGATTAGATCTTTTTATTTTATTTCTGTAGTAAAAAAATTTCTTTTAATTTAAAAAATTAAAAAATTAAAAAACAGAAAAGAACAAAACAAAAATAAAATTTGTAATATTTTTGTATATTTAAACAATATTATATTCTTATTATAAATTAATTAATTAATTATAATTAATATATATATATATATATATATATTAGAGCAACCATATATTATGTAATTTTAGTTATTAAGGATCGGTTATTGCAATCAAAAATAATTAGTTTTAAAATATTAAATAAGAAATTAAATAAATATAAATTATAATTAAAATTTAATAATAACAAAATTAACCTTTGTTCAAGGTACATAATATCGAATTAGATATTGAATTTTGTGTTTATTTCAACAAATTTTTCATAAGATTTCTATGTCAATGTATAAAAATTACAAAAAAAAATAATAATTTATTTATAAGGCTATATTTAATGGTCAAAGGCTCATATTATTTCTATTTTATATAATTTTATGAATATAATTTATCCTATAGTTCGTATACGACATATAGTTCGTATTATTTTTTAATTAACAAAGTGATGATTCAATTAGAGATTAGAAATAAAAGTATTTGTGCAATAACTTGCGTTTTTTATGCAATAGAATTTCTATAATAAAGCTTTTTAAAGAATTCTTAAGAAAGACGAAATTTTTTAATATGTGTAATTGGGTAAGCCAATATTAATTTTTAAGCACATTTCCAAAAAGAAGTAGAAATATATGTGCTTATGCAACTATGCAGTAACGGAACAAAAACCGGTATATTTTGGGGGCTAAAATATAATTTCAAAATTTCTTGTATTGCAATTTTTTTTTTAGCAATAGCTATATTAAATATTTGATTTTAAATATAAATGTGCATTGAAGTGTGTGTGTATATTTCATATAACTCAACATTCACACCAATTTAGATTCATACATTCACTAATTAATGGTTTTGGATGCGTTCAGTTGAATAAGATATTTAAAAATTATTTAATCATTTTAATTTTAACCGAGCTATACAAATGTCAAAATGTCACTTAATCACATCTCTCATATGCATATGAAAATTTAATTTTTAAATAATGGTTAAAATCAATAACGTTTTAATCAAAAACAGTTTCAGTATATTTTTAAATTTCCCTATTATACAAGAATAAACGCTCCCTTTGCTTAGAATTAGAGTAGAATTTTAATTAAAACATTTAAGGTAATTTTTTAAGTTTAATGCAATTTTTAATACCGAAATTATCATAATTTAGAAGGCGCCATGCCCGCCGGAGTGAGAATGTAGTTCCCCAGTATTTAGCTTCTCTTGCGGGTGAGAGCCCCATAATCTTATAGAATGTGGATTGAGGTCTCCTTATGCTCACCACAAAATCTGCAAATGTCCTCGTTTTCTAGGTCCACCTTTCTTAAGGGGACCCCTAAACCTGCAATGTCAAAATACCAGTGAAGATTTCCACCTGATCCATGCCCAACCCCCATAATCTTCTTAAATTTAATATTTTTTATTTAAACACTCAAACAATTTAATTTTTTTCGTTTTCCTTAAATATCTGATAGATTATGTACTTGTATATTTACAAAGGTTAGCAATATTATTGCTTAAAATGTAGAAGAAGAAAAAACAAACACAATAAATTTAATGAGAATAAAATTAAATTTAAAAAAAAAAATTAGAAATATAGATCATGTAAATTGGAAAAAAATTATTATTATAAAAATATTATTTAAAAAAAAAGCAAAATTTAATAATTAAATAGTAAATGATTAAAATAGAAATAGATTGAAAAAACAAAAAAGTAAAAAATAACAATAAATTCAGAAAAATTTAAAAAAAAAAAAAACTATTCAAGGTTTTGTTAAAATTTACCCTCAGTCAATAGCGCTATTATAAATGTAAATGATATAGGAAAAAAAGAAAACATCCTTAAATAATTATAGAAAATAAAAAAAAACTACAATAAAAAAATTGTTAAAAAAAGAAAACAAAACATAGAGAGAGAAAAATCAAATAAACAATAATTAATTAATTAATTAATTAATTAATAAATAATTAATTAAATAAAATCAAGTAAAAATAACAACAACAATAAGATTTCATTAGCAGGATATTATTTTTTTCCCCCATTTTTAATTTGTGTATAAAGCGGATGCAATGAATACATTCATGCACTCATATTTGTAATATTACTATATATTATTAATTTGGTTCATACGTCATTTATTTGATTTCGAGAAAAACGACTTGAAATTAATCACACAAAATCTACACTATAGCGTATAGAATCCTGGACATGGAATCAAAAATTTATATGGAAACACAAAAATTTCTCATGGACTGTTTAATATGTTAGTTTTAATGAGAAATTAGCAAGTGATTTTGAAAGAGCACATTTTATTACCCTAGATTTGACTATTAAGTCAAAGTGTCATACAAAAATGGCGTATGTACCAAACCACTATTAATATATAGATGATACAATGTATGTAATATATGTACATTAATACATATATGTATATGTAATATAAAATTTAATATTCATGCATTCAACACATATATTATGTATAGTATGTATATTACAATATAATAAATTTTTTTTTTTTTTACATACTTATATTATTATTAGTATATAAATAAAAATGCACATTCTACATATAGTATACATATATATAATGTATAAGTATAATATAATAATCATGTTTGTATATTCTGTGTATATAACAATGGCAATAATAATGTATGTATGTATGTGCAAAAAATTATAATTTATACATACATAATTATATTTATATTTATGTTATTATAATTAAAAAAATTAAAATTAAAAAAAAAAAAACTATTATTTAATAAGAATAATATCCGGTATACTAGCTATAAGAAGTTGTCTAGTCTAATAATATTTATTACTTTTAAGCGATTAAAAATTAACAAAGACAAGAGAATAAAAATAAAAATTTTATGAATTAATACAATAATAATAATAATAAAATAAAAATGTTGTTTGAAATTCATTTTTTTTTTGATTTTAGAATTTAGACCTCAAATTTTAAAATTGTTATTGCAAATTTTCTATGTTAACCTCTTCGTGCCAGAAAATTTTCTTAATTAATGGCAGCTAATAAGTTTTTGTTTTGTGCCAGTTCTTTTTATCAAATTTAATAATTCAAAATATTTGATTTTTTTTTTTGGAGAAACTATGTATGGGTTACGGTGTGAAATTTATGGCTTTAAATTTATACTATCCTTAAGTTTCATATTGTAAAAAGAAAATTCTTGATATCTGCATCCGAACACTTAATACACGACTTTTACAATCCTCAAGTAAGTGAAATATATTTATGAAAAATAGTAAAATGCTTAAGCTATTACTTGAGTTTCTACTGTACAACAGAATCTATATTTTTACTATCGGAAACATATGACTTGGTTATACAGATTCGGATAATAATTAAATTATTATGTAAAAAAATTCAAATGATTGCATATATTTAGGATGAGACAAAAAAATTTTAAAAGATGAAAAATGATTATATTTTTTGATGGTATAATATTTGCCGGTCAGCTTTTTGCATTTATAGAAATAGCTTTTATTTTTGCAAACATAAAAAAATTGAAAAATATTTCAAATTTTGAGAGACGATAATTTGAGATGGGATGGAAGTGGGAAAGAATTTCCTTCTAACGAAATCAATTATTTATTAATATTTAAAGCCTGATAAAATTTCAGACCGCTATATTGTACAATCTAAAAGGAACACGATATCAAAAAATTTAAAAAAAAAACGCGTTTCAGACCTTTTTTTGAGATCAGAAATCTTTTCAAAAAAACGGTTAATACAAAGTCAAAAACGGCTTATGAAAGCCTGATTTTGACTTTTCTATACTCAATTATGCTATGCCGCATTGAAAAAAGAAATCCGCTACTATTCTCCGTTTTCATAATTTAAAAAATATTTTTGGTTTCGTTACAAAAAATAATCAAAAAATGTCCTTTTTAGGGCTTTGAGAGACCATATCCTTTAGAGGTGACCAACTGATTTTTTAAACATATTTAGGGAGATTTTTAATGAATTTTTTTTAAATTTAATTTATCAAATCTGATTTTTTTCCCAACAGATTCCATAAGAAATTTGTCGAATGTGACAGTTTGGTGTTACCTATGATGATTTTTACAAGATCTTTTATAAAAAAAAAACAGAATAATAATTTTGATGGTTCACTTTAAAGTACTGTCAATATTGTACAATGCTGCATAAATCTATTCACTATAAATACCAAATATTACCGAATTGGCTGGCTCAACAATATTGAAAAGAAATCGAATCGATAAACTGAAAACTTAAGTGCTTTCACTATATATGTGGCAATATTGTTTGAAATCGTTTACCAATTAAAATAATAAAATGGTAAAGAGTATTTCGATTACTTTACAAGAATGTAAACATATAAAAAAACTCCAAATAAATAATTACTGGCTAAAATTTACAATATGCCCTTACTTATAGAATATGTTTTTCTAACATTGTATTTAAATTATAATTACACATTACTCGTATATTTGATATTAGATCTTAAATGATTTGTAAAATCAATATAAATATATTATATATGTATATATATATATGGTTTTGGCTCATCTTCCAGAAAAATAGATTCATTTAATAATTTTAAATCGCTCACGATCTGATTACATACATACATCAAGTACATATACCCATTTAACTGAACGTTTTAATTGTATGTAGAATTTAAAAGTTGGAATCAAAATAGAAGTGATGTAAAATTAAATGAAAAAAGAAAATTAATTGAAAGTGAAATTAATTGAAAGATTATATTAAGGGGAGAAGCAACTTGAAATCTCCTTTTTAGTCTACCTTTTTACAAAACTTCTACAAACTTCAAAATAGAAAGCTGTTCGTATACAAATATACTCGTATCTTATTTTCGAAGAAGAAAAATTTTCACTTACCCCCTCCCCCCCACCGCTCCTCCTCTTCTAAAAGTTATAGCCTCTCAAAGTAATAAAATTTCCAATTTTTTGATTACTTCATGTAACGAAACCACAAATATTTTTTAAATTCTGCAAATACAGAAAAATATAGCTATTGGTTTTTCAATCGCATCATAGCACATTTAAGCATGGAAATGAAAAAATGACCATTGAAATTAACCAATATCTGAAACCCGTTTCTCTTTTTCAAATATTATCTTTTTATAT